TTCCATTGCACCAGAAGCAGTTTAGTCCTGCTGGCCACATGACCCGGAAAGCTGTCTGTGGACAAATGCCAGCTCCCTCGGCCAGAAAGTGAGACGAGCGCCGCAAACCCATAGTCGCTATAGTTAAAGGTCACACTTTTAATTGTGCTCAGAAACGTACTGGGAGCCAATGAAGATCCTTTAGGACCTGTGTTATGTGGTCTCGACGGTCACTCCCAGTCACCAGTCTAGCTGCCGCATTCTGGATTAGTTGTAGTTTCTGAGTCACCTTCAAAGGCAGCCCCACGTAGAGTGCATTGCAGTTGTCCAAGCGGGAGATTACTATAAGCCTGGGGAGGGGAGGATGACAACAGAAGAAGCAGGAGGAAGTAGAGGTAAGGATGGTTTGGAAAAGAACATGCAATTGTTTCAGTTACATTTACTTTGGCCTTAGTTATTTGGGAATGAGTGGGTTAGGAACATAGGAAATTGCCTTATACAGAATCAGACCATTGATCCATGGAGTGATCAGTGATTACACTGACTGGCCCAGGATGCTTGAGGCTATAGGCAGGGATCTCCCCTGACTCTACCTGAAGATGCCAGAGATTGAACTTGCAACCTTCTTGCGAGAAAGGCAGGTTTCCTATAGGCTTCATGGAAAGGGTGGCTTTTGAGGAGGGCTTTGAAGGAGGTGGATGCAGGTGGCGCTGTGGTCTAAACCACAGAGCCTAGGGCTTGCTGATCAGAAGGTCAGCGGTTCGAATCCCTGCGACGGGGTGAGCTCCCGTTGCTCGGTCCCTGCTCCTGCCAACCTAGCAGTTCGAAAGCACGTCAAAGTGCAAGTAGATAAATAGGTACCGCTTCGGCGGGAAGGTAAACGGTGTTTCCTTGCGCTTCTCTGGTTCGCCAGAAGCAGCTTAGTCATGCTGGCCACATGACCCGGAAGCTGTACGCCGGCTCCCTCGGCCAATAAAGCGAGATGAGCGCTGCAACCCCAGAGTCGTCCACGACTGGACCTAATGGTCAGGGGTACCTTTACCTTTACCTTTGAAAGAGGTAGAGTGGCCTTGTGTGGTCTTCTGGGAGACACTTTCAGGCCTAAGAGGCAACAAGGGAGAAAGGAACCAGTGTGGCTTAATGGTTAAGAGTGCCAAACTAGGACCTGGGAGAGCAGGGTTCGAATCCCTACTCAGCCATGAAGCTCACGGGGTGACCTTGGGCCAGTCACTGCTTCTTAGTCTGAACTGCCTCACAGGGTTGTGGTGAGAATGAACTGGGGAGGAGGAGAACCATGTACACAGGCTAGAGATCCTTGGAAGATAAAAGGTAAAGGGTAAAGGGACCTCTGACCATTAGGTCCAGTCGTGACCGACTCTGGGGTTGCAGCACTCATCTCACTTTATTGGCCGAGGGAGCCGGCATACAGCTTCTGGGTCATGTGGCCAGCATGACTAAGCCGCTTCTGGCGAACCAGAGCAGTGCACGGAAACGCCGTTTACCTTCCTGCCGGAGCAGTACCTATTGATCTACTTGCACTTCATGCTTTTGAACTGCTAGGTTGGCAGGAGCTGGGCCAAAGCAACGGGAGCTCACCCCGTCGCAGGGATTCGAACCGCCAACCTTCTGATCGGCAAGCCCTAGGCTCTGTGGTTTAACCCACAGCACCAACCACGTCCCACTTGGAAGATAAAAGTGGTATATAAATGTAATACATAAAATAAAACACAGGTAGAGAGCCCTTTAGGGACCAGGAAAGCTCTCAGTGGCCAGCGATGGTAGAGCTGAACGAAAGGAAGGTCCAAGCCAGGAACAGAGCTTAAAAACTTCAATTTTTTTTGAAAAGCAGTTCAACAACTTTGCCCCTACATCAGAGGCCACCTTAGAGAGCTGAAGTTATTGCACATTGATTATTACAGAGCAACAGCAGTTTCTTCTCGTTTATGTAACAACTGTCTCCTGGTTCACACCCGGGTTATTTTCTTCAGGGTCCAAGAAAAAAAGAAGTTTAAACAAAGCGCACGCTTTCAGGAACTCTGCAAGGATTAGAAGTTCCTTGAAGCCATGCAGAATCCGGCCCAGTCAATAGGCGTCTGGCACGTTTGAGATGGGCGGCCAATTAGGAGTTGCCGTTTCAACCAGCCCGATATGACACGGAGCTGCTCGGAGCTCATTACGAAGGACTGCGCTCTGTTGCCCAAATTGGAATTTGACTTCAAAAATGGGTATCGATCGAGGAGTGGAAGGAAGGTGTTAAGTATTCCTCGCCTCTTTATAAAAAAAGAACTAAGACAACATGAGAAGTACGGAGTCAAGATACAGTTCCAGAAGCACATTTTGTGTTTATCACATGTCAGCCAGGCCACTGGTTGGATTTATAGAGCTTGTAATTTTTCTTAGATCCTCCTGAATGTTTGTTCTCCTATACCAGCCTTTCAAAAAGTTTTAAATTATTGTTGATAATTTTATTGGGTTTCTTTTTTGGAAACAATCTTTGAGGTTTTGTTTTTTACAGACAAGTGGTATATAAGTTATACAAACCAAATAAAAATGTCTCATACGCCAGTGGTTAATGTCCTAGCAACAAGGGTACAGTGGTGCCCCGCAAGACGAATGCCTCGCAAGACGGAAAACTCGCTAGACGAAAGAGTTTTCCGTTTTGGAGGTGCCTCGCAAAACGAATCTGCTATGGGCTTGCTTCGCAAGACGAAAATGTCTTGCGAGTTCCTGGGGTTTTTTTCCTTTTCCCCTCTTTTTCTAAGTCGCTAAGCCGCTTATCTGCTTATCCGATAAGCTGATAAGCTGCTAAAGCTAAAAGCCGCTAAAAGCCGCTAAAAGCCGCTAATAGCGCTAATCCCATCAATGGGCTTGCTTCGCAAGACGAAAAAACCGCTAGACGAAGAGACTCCCAGAACGGATTCTTTTCGTCTTGCGAGGCACCACTGTATAATAATCTTGTCCTGTCATAAGTCACTAGCATGTCAATTCCATGTTGTAGTAGCTGGTCATTACTTTGCAAAACCTAAACACGTTTGCCAAAAATTGCCCCACTATGCTTTGTGGGGGCTTACTCCCAGGTAAGTGTGAGGCCTGTATATTTTGGAAAGCAGAAATACTGTCCACATAGGGCAGAAAGAAGAATAATCAGTTTATCGTTGTTGTTTTAAATGAGCTTGTCTTCTAGTGAGACAGTAGATTTTACATTCCACCTTTAGACATAGGCAATGCAAAGAGGTTGAAACACCATTAATTATGAAAATGCTTTTAAGCTTGGCAGGGACTATTTGGGGTATTAGGGGAGGAGTATTACCTCTGGTGGGGGGCACGTCGTGGCTCCTAGATGCTGTCAGCATGAGACAACGGCCATACCCTGGGAAATGGCTTAGACTGGCCGGCTAAACCAGATGAGGGTAGCCAGTGTGTTAGGTTTACAATGCCTGCAAAGACAGGGCCCAGCAGGTTGAGTGGACGAGACCAATAAAGGGTCAGTGGTCAAGAAGGTGGTTTCTGCACGTGCTGTAGAGGGAAGTGAGGGGCAGATGGGAGCTTTTCCACCTGGGAAGGAAGCCCATCTAGGAGAAGGAAGTCTCTGATCCTAAACCTCTGCTGCCTTGCAAGGTATCTTTGGGAGAAGAAAAGGCTCAGGAGTGTGGGATGTAATCCAGTGGGAGCAGTCAAGTACAACATTCCTTGTTTTCCTAGAGTGGACATGCAAGGGAATGTTTGGGCTAGAGGGCCAAGTTTGGTCACGCCTGCTTTAAGCCTTAAGCCCGCCTTCAGGGATCACACTGTTCTCTGCCTGATCACGAGTAAACTTTCTTTTTATTGCTTATGAATAAGACTGTGGTGTGAACTTCAATACATAACAGTGTCTTTGTTCTTTTAGGAGGGATTCAAGGGGTCTTACCAGGAAAATACTAGAACACATTTCAATCCGGAAGAGCCAGATTGAATTGCGTATTGTCTTAAGAAACTCACACAAGTTTGCAACTAGTTTTCTGCTGTTTAAAGGGGAATGCAAACTCTGCTAAGTAAAGGAACTTGCTAGCGCAGATTAGGAAGGATATTAATAAACAATATATGCTCTCCTGCCACCCTGAACATTCCCACAAGGAGGAAACCCCACACAAAGCCCTAAGGCGATTGGAGGGTGCCTTGCGTGCCTCCTTCTGGCAACTCCTGCAGCCAAGCTGGTGCCAAACGTCTTGCTCTGCTTTCCTTTTAGGCCATATAAGTGAAGCCGAGAGGGGAGTCTTGTCATCTGGGCAGCCCAGGACCTCCATACACACTGCCCAGGCTTGCACCCCGGGGAGGTCGCTTGGGTGCTGGTGGGCGGCCATTTGGCTTTGCCCCCTGGAGGCACACTCCATTGTCTCTTGAGACAGATGCATGCCAACAACAGCTCCCATCATCCCTGACCACTGGTCATACTGGCTGGGGGTGATGGGAACTGGAGTTCAACCCCATTTTCAGGGGCGCAGATTCGCCATCTCTTTGTTAGCCCTGATGACCTAAGGGGAATTTATTGTATTCAGTCCATTTGTTCAGGAAAGTGAAAACCTGATTATGGTGCTTCTAGCTAATAAATGCAATGTCACCGGGATGACTGACGGCTCTTCGGCACTTACATTTTAAAACACTGTTATTAAAATTTAAACGGTGTTCTTAAAATTATATATTATGGTTAAATTAAAGGGAGGGAGTTTTTTTAAAAAATAAAACCAGGTTTGCTTGGAAGTAAATTACAGTGAGTTTAGTGGGGCTCATTCTAGAGTTTCTGTGCGTAGGATTACAGACTCATAGTGCAATTTTATATGTGGCCACGATCCTCCGCTCAGTTACCTGGGATTAAAAGTGCCACTGAATTCAACTGAGTTTACTTTTGAGTAAAGCCCCATTGAGTTCACTGGAACTTTCACTCCCGGGCCATTGAGCAGAGGATTTGCAGCCAATCATAGAAATGTAGAGTTGCAAGGGAACGCGAGGATCATCTCGCCCAACCCTGCAATGCAGGAATATTGTGCCCAATGTGGGGCTCAAACCCACGACCCTGAGATTAAGGGTCTCATGCTCTACCAGCTGAGCTATTCCAGGTCATATGTTTGGGTTGCTATTTTCTCCCTCCCCTTTTCCTGGGAGTGAGCCCCAATCAATTCAATAGGACTTACTTCTGAGTAGGTGAGGTCAGGATTGTTAGCAAAAGGCAGTCTGTTTTGCTTTGGTTTCTGATGCAACACATTTCTCCAAAGAAAGTTGTTGTTGTTGTTTAGTCGTTTAGTCATGTCCGACTCTTCGTGACCCCCTGGACCAGAGCACTCCAGGCACTCCTGTCTTCCACTGCCTCCTGCAGTTTGGTCAAACTCATGCTGGTAGCTTCGAGAACACTGTCCAACCATCTTGTCCTCTGTCGTCCCCTTCTCCTTGTGCCCTCCATCTTTCCCAACATCAGGGTCTTTTCCAGGGAGTCTTCTCTTCTCATGAGGTGGACAAAGGATTGGAGCCTCAGCTTCAGGATCTGTCCTTCCAGTGAGCACTCAGGGCTGATTTCCTTCAGAATGGATAGGTTTGATCTTCTTGCAGTCCATGGGACTCTCAAGAGTCTCTTCCAGCACCATAATTCAAAAGCATCAATTCTTCGGCGATCAGCCTTCTTTATGGTCCAGCTCTCACTTCCATACATCATTACTAGGAAAACCGTAGCTTTAACCATAGTTAAAGCTATAACCATAGCTATAACCATAACTTTAACTATAGCTTTAACTATACGGGCCCAAAGAAAATAGGGATGTCCTATTTAATAATAATAATAATAATTTTTACTATTTCTACCCCACCCATCTGACTGGTTTGCCCCAGCCACTCTGAGCGGCTTCCGACATATATAAAAACATAATAAAATATTAAACATTTGCTATACAGGGCTTCCTTCAGAAGTCTTCTAAAGGTTGTCTAGTTCCTTATCTCCTTGGCTCGGTGAGTGTGTGTGTGTCACCTAACTCTATTCCCTCCAACATTTCTCCAGTGAAAATAGGGATGTCCTAAGGAAAAGCGGGACATTCTGGGATCAACTCAGAAACCGGGACAGCTTCTGTAAATCCGGGACTGTCCCTGGAATATAGGGGCAATTGGAGGGTCTGCATCTCTCTCCCCCCTGCCCCTTGAAATATTTTGGTCTACGGTCCAGGTTTTGTACCCCAAAGCTTTAAGAAGAAAAACCAGTTTCTTGCAGCTTTCACTTATCCTCCCACACTATACATTTACTGTCTTTTGTGGTTTCCACATCAGGGTTGCTAGGCCTGAGTCACTGTAGCCGTAGCTTTTGAAATATTTCCGCTGCCTGTGTGTGTGTTTTATGTGTAGTTAACACTTGCAGGAGTGTCACATGGAACGGGAATGTGTACGCTGTGTGGGCAGCAAGTTTCAAAAAGTGTTTGCGTTTGGCTGAGCTGATGCATGTGGAACGCATCCCTCTTGCCCTGTTTGTGCTCGTGGCTGTTTCTTGTGCCTTCTTTTCTTTTCTATATAATTTTTATTGATTCCTTTTTTAACACAATATTTCAAACATTACGTTGACAGAGAAACACACTCTTTGCCCTGCTGAGCTCATGACTTCCCTCCATCCCTTCAACTGGTATTTTTATTTTCAAGTCTTTATATTCACACTTTAGGCCATCCATTTCTGACCTTTATACTCTTATAGTCAACTCTTTCTCTTTGGTCAGAAAAGTTTTAAAGTTTATCGTTGCAAGATTTATTTCAGTCCTGCTTAATGCCTTCACATTTTTACAGTAATTACAGTAATTACTCATATACCAAATAAATTTACTCCAGTCTCTTTGAAATTTTTGGTCGTCTTGGTTCTGGATTCTACCAGTCAGCTTGGCGAATTCTGCATAGTCCGTCATCTTCATCTGCCACTCCTCGATCGATTGGGTCCTCCCTTAAAGAGGGCACATATTGCAGTGAGACTTGGACAACCGACACCCTGTGTTGTGGGTGGGTATAATTGGTAAGCCACAACACCCGATTGGTAGGTCCCTCGAAGCTGGGTACAATCTGGCCAATGGGACACAGTCCAGACGGTTCGAGGGACCTATTTATGCCCATGCACGTGACCCAGAGCTTCCTCTTTCGGCGCGTGCATTTGGAACACCCGCCCACCTCTCTCTAATTTTAGGGAATTTTGCGATTGACTTTGCTATGCCGTCGTGTGTCGTCTGTCGTTGGGACAGGGGCACGGCAGGAATTTTCCCCACCTGGCTGATAGGCTGTTGCCATTTGGGTTTCGCCTGCCGCGTAGCAAATCGTCACAACTTGTAAGGTTGTGGGTAGGCTCTGGTTCAGGTGATAGGGATGGGAGAATGCTCTCTCCATCCCTATGTGTAGGGTATTCCGTTAAAGGAATCCAGGGACTCGAGGTTTGGTCAACCCCTGTGAGGGGGTTGTGCCCGTGCCTGAGTCCAGGGGGACATTTGGGTGGCAGAGTTAGCCCGTTCCCGGCTTTCGGCTTATCCAGGTGTTCACCCTTGGCTGACCTATGCTGGTGCCCTGGGTCAGCGCTACCTGCCTGGCAGGGAGCTAGTCAAAACAGAGCCTATGCAACCAGTCACTTTCTGTAATCAATAAAGTTGTGGCCTAAATTCTGCCAAAAACCAAACCAAAAATTTGAGTCAAGTGTGAATTTATCTAGGGGGGAGGTTTCTGGGTCTGAACACGCAATTGGTAATTCCTGCAATTTCCACCTTTGGGCTAATAAAGTTCTTGCCGCCGTTCATTTCATTTCATTCATATGTTGCCTGACTGTAGAAAGACTCAAAGCACAAAGACACACAAAAAATGCACATTTATTAGGCTCCATCTGCTCCATACTTTTAAATAGGGCTGATCTAACATGTAGGGGGGGTATGGAGGGTGCTAATTGAAGAAAAAATGTTATTTGGGAGTAACTTATCGTATATAAGAAGAAAACACATGTGAGCGGTGCCTTTTCAGACCTCTGGTGGTAGTCTGGGGAAAGAGTGTGTGGGAAAGAGCTGTAGCCCAGGGAGAGTCCTGAGGGCCAGGGAGTGAGACGTCAAGGGCCACATTCAGGCCCCAGGTCCGAGGTTCCCCACCCCAGGATCCCACTCTGTGGGGCAGGTGGTTGTCAGAGGTATAAACACACAGCTTATAAAACTCATTGCAGATAAAATTTCCAGTTGTGGCGTTGTGGGTTAAACCACAGAGCCTAGGACTTGCCGATCAGAAGGTCGGTGGTTCGAATCCCCATGACAGGGTGAGCCCCCGTTGCTCCGTCCCTGCTCCTGCCAACCTAGCAGTTCGAAAGCACGTCAAAGTGCAAGTAGATAAATAGGTACCACTCCAGTGGGGAGGTAAACGCCATTTCTGTGCGCTGCTCTGGTTTGTCAGAAGCGGCTTAGTCATGCTGGCCACATAACCCGGAAGCTGTACGCCGGCTCCCTCGGGCAATAAAGCGAGATAAGCGCCGCAACCCCAGAGTTGGTCACGACTGGACCTAATGGTCAGGGGTCATTTTACCTTTACCTTTACATCAACTAGTGTCTACTCATGGGTGCAATGGCACTCTTGAGTCTGTTTCCTGTAGCCCATAAACTCTCTGAGCCCTACCCCTTGCCCATGAGGTGAGGAGTATAATTTTCTCCCTTGAAAACGCACGCCGAACGAAAGGCGGAATTTGAAATTCCCATTTCCTCTTTCACATCCTAGGAGCTTTGCAGAGCTTGGATTAATTCTGTTGAATGTGACTGTTTCCTGGAAAAGCAAAGTGGGTGTTTGTGGGTGTTTGCTTTCTCAGTTTCTGATCGGGGGGGACGGGACGTATCTGAGCCTTAAGTCCTTGCAGCCACGAAGGAGCCTAATGGTGGTTGACGTGTAAATAAGTCCCACCGACATGGAGAGGATAATAAGTTCATAAGTGCAGGAGCGCCTGCTCTGAGTGCTCTGAAACAGAATGTAAATCAGGAACTTCTTTTAGAGATCTCTTAACGGTCCGCAGCAGCAGTTTCCAACTGCAGCTTCCAACAGAAATAACTAGGAAGCTTTCTGAAATTAGGCCGGTGAAACAGAATTCTTGTGGTGGGAATGAGAGCGGGGTTTTGTGTGGAGGGGGAAACAAAATCTGAGCTTTGTTCTCGAACTGATTATAGATTCCTGGGCTGAACATGTGCCTGGAGGTCTCCTGTTCATCAATCCTTAGAACATATCCGCTCAGCTGAGCCACTATTTTGCATGTGGATCTGGGGGTCCTAGTAAAAATCAAAGTGGATCCCAGAAGCTCAAAGTCTGCACACCTCTACTCTAAAAGTAATGGCAGCCACTCACTTGAGGAGAAGTCCCCCCCCCCCCTTCTGCTATTTTGAAACCACAAATATGATAAACTTGTGGTATAAGAGAGTGACAGATATCTTGTGGGGGCGGATTTGTGAGTTTTTTCGTTCTTGTTTTTATTATGTATTTTGTGTTTTTATATTGTATTTTTATACTGTGGATCGCCCTGAGATCCACGGGTGAAGGGTGGCATACAAATTTGATATAAATAAAAATTAATGTCACCCACTTTGCAAATGTGAGGAAATAAAAGCAATTGTTTTTAGTGGTGTTTGCCCATGCTGTTATTGTGAACTGGATATTTGAAGGCAGGGTGTGTATAAATCAAAGTGTTGGTGGTTGTATCAGCAGGACAACACGAGCGAAAGGAAATCGTAGCATCATAGAATTATACAGTTGGAAGGGACCCCAAGGGCCATCTAGTCTAACCCTCGTCAGAGGTGGGTGTGGGGATGGGAACAAAATTTGAGTGAGTTCACATTTAAAAGGTGAACCTACCTAACTTTCACTTTCAAGAACGCTATGAGAACCAAAACACAAGTGTCCTTCAAAATCCACACTTCTCTGAATTTTGCAGGTCAGATCTCCAGTGTACAAAAAATGTACAAAAATGCATATACTGGGATAAAGTGCCCATAAAAAATACATATATATATATATATATATTAGTGAATGTAACATTTAACAAAATACATTCCCTCCACCAACAGCATACAAATCAATATGGCTAACCTGATCCAAAACACC